GTAAAGTTATGTGGATATTTTTCTTCATTTTCTAAATCTGGAGACTCTGTTATTTGTAGGGCTTGCAGGAATAATATGTATTCTCCAAAACCCATATACTGGTCTTGGTGCTAAGAACCATAGGAGTTTGTGAAGGCCCCACCAATACTAGCCATGGACACTCAGCTAGAATAGCCACAGCTTTGTCTAGCAGCAAATCAGGTAGGTAGAGAGTGTAGTCCATTGTTTCATCAGAGTAAGATGGAGTGGGTAAGTGTATCCCAGTTCTTTGTGGAGAAGAGTAGAAAGAGGTAGTAGGAATTGAAGCATGAGAGGCCAAAATAATTCACCAAGAATTTCTCAGGTAACAGTGTGTCAGCTGGATTAGATGGTCTTTCTACAGTATCATACAATTGTCCCTGTATGTGCCTATGCTCCATAATGTTTGTGGAATCCTTGATCTTGATTTTTTGATGCTGTGAGTGTGTAGCAAGGACATAGTTTGCAGTGGTGGTTAAAAATCATATTTGAGTTGAGAAAATTGTCCATCAGAGACTCACTGAACATGAAACCATGGAAAACCTTCATATATAAATATATTTTAAAATCGCAGTTGCTTCTAATATTCAGCATTCAGTCAGAATCACTACTGAAATAAGAGAACAGTAAAAATGTAGATAGCTGGTGCTATAGTCCATGCCTGTAATTTTAGCAGCTTGGGAGGCTGAGGCAAAAGAATTGGGAATTCAAAGCCAGGCTTAACAAAAGTGAGGCACCATGCAACTCAGTGAGACTCTGTTCCTAAATAAAATACACAATCAAGTGGGGGATGTGGCTCAGAGATTGAGTGCCCCTGAGTGCAATCCCAGGTATGAAAAAACAAAGTCAGATAAAAATGTATCCTAATTGTAAGCCAGTATATTTAATCTTACTAAAGGATTCTCTCATACAGTTTTTATGATCTAATTTGGAATTATTGGAACAGAAAAACAGAATTTTTATAGAAAAGAATGTAATGTATTTTAAAAACAGATGAGCATGATCTACTTAATCAAAAACCTTGATATTATTCTTTTTTGCTTTGAAAGGTACCACTGAACCATCAGTTGACACAACAACCAGAGCCTCAAATAATGAAGTGACATCACCTGAAGGGAATTCAGGTTAGTAGAGAATGACTTCAGTGGTCCTCATTTTGGTCCTCGTTTGAATCAAAGTAGTTGAGATGAATCTAAGGAGACCTAGTTGACTCAACTTAAGACAAAGAAAGATGTCTTTGTTTAAAAAAATTGCAATAACTAATTTGATATAATTAGCTTTAATATATAATTAAAATCTAAAAAATTAAACTTTCAACATTGCTTCCTTTTATCATATCATCTTACAAGTACCTGCTCCCACTGATTGTTGCAGGCCTCATGCAGGTTTGTTTGTGTTTTGCCATTTGTACAGTTGTATCAATTTTTTTCAAACTTCCTAAGGAACAACTAGCAAGTCACCAGTTGTAACTTTAGGAACCCATAGGAATGTCTAAGTGATACAGCTTCCAATCAGGTGGAACAAAGATATGAGTCAAACACAATATTCCAAACAACACCCCTTTAACCATAGCAATCACCACTCTGAATACAGTCTAAAACAAAGAGGCCAATTTATAGTTACACAAGTCAATTCCATGACTTTGTACAAATCATGTAAGTATTTGCTCTTGCATATGAAACATTAATGATACACATTTTTGTCCTTTAAAATATCTGATTTGCTTTCAAGTATATTCTTTGTTAACATAGTCAGGCTTAACACGTTATATGTGTTTATTGTCATGAGATGAGAAAATAAAAGTTCCTCAGCTTACAAAGTCTGGTTAGAACAGGAACTCTGAACCTGATGGGCAATAGCTGCTTTCTCAATGGTGTGACCAGTGTAATAGAGCTCATTTCCAACAAAATCCAAGCAGAATATGCTGTGGATGTGCATTGATTAAATTAGGTCAGTTTAGGACCAGGAATACAATACTATTGACAATATTGGACATAGATAATTTAGATTGAAAACAAAAATGACTCAATTTTAAACTAACTCTGATGCCATCCATTCCAATTTTCAGGGCCTCTAAAGTGTCTTCCCTTGTTGCCCATTTTCCTGTGTTTTATTCACATGTTAAGCTCTTTTCCCAAGTCCCTGCAGTCCTCTGCTTTGTTTACCTTCCTTCTCTAATACCATGGTTACAGTGTGGTTCCTGTACCAGCAGCATTGGAATCCTGTGGGATCTTATTAAAAGTACACATTTCCTAGTCCACCAGCAGAGAATTGGAAAGTCTATTGAGTCAAATTTTTTAGAGAATTGATGCTCAAGGTAGAGAAACACATCTCCCAACTTCATTCCCAGTTTACACTCCATAAATGTCATGTCCGAATGACTTCCAAAGCTCACCTCTCCCCCTGTGTCTGTATTATTTAGTACTTAAATAGTTCTGATTTCTTTTAAGATAATTCAGAAATTTATATACCATTAGGAGGAAGCCTTTGTCTCATGTATGCATATTAGGTCTTATAAATTTATTCAAGAATCTATGGGCCTGTTGTGTTTCTCACATACTCATTTTTGGGTAGCTATTGTTTTGATTTAAAATTCATGATGAATAGTCTTTTCCATAAGCTGTAGTTTTTGAAATTACTGATTTAAATGATCTAGTTTATGAATAATAGGAAAAAGGGAAACTTGGCAATTCCCACTGGATCAGTAAATTTATTGAAATTTAAAGTGACCATTTGTTTATATTCCAAAAGTCTGTCTGACTCAGAATTACTTGGTTAATAAGGTTGTCTCATTCAGAGATCTTTCACAGTTATCAGCTAGTAAAGTATTTGAACAAGGCTACTCAACATTGGTCCATGAATGTGTGGCTTATTGTGTTTGTTAACAGCCCGTGATGTGATAAGAAGTGAAAGCATTTGCAAACAGAGAAATTTAGTATAACAATATTTTATTGTTGAATAAAAATTTGTATGTTATAAGGTCTTATTTACTTAGATTTTATATTAGCATTCATTTTATAACACCATGAAAACCATGCTTTTGGCAGAGATTAGAATAATAAAACTTGTCCTGTTGTCAAAGACCTTTTGAGCAGCACTGGTTACAGCATGAAATTAGGGAT